GCCCAGGTTGGCCAAAACTGTGACTCCGTAGATGAGAAGGAACAGCAGGAAGAGGAAGACTTTCAGCTCAGGGGCATCAGATAATCCAAGGATAATGAACTCTGTCACAGTGCTGCAGTTCTCCTCACCCATGTTCCCACTTTATTTGGTGTTGGAGGAAAAAAACAAATAAGTTATTCTCCATTACATGACCTAAAATTTAGTTTTGGGTCTCTCCTGTAAAAAGACATTAGAAGAAGTGAGATAGTTATTTATCAGACATGATTAGGACTTCTATTTCAAAATTTAAGAAAAATTCTGATATTGTATATTTACAGATGCATAAACTCACAGTCTAATTCAAGAATCATACATAAACATTAACATTTATAAGAACTTATATATATATTTTTTTTTTTAAGTTGTCTTTCACAATTGAGATCTTGGCACTGATTCATTAGGAAAGAGATTAAAGTATCATGTAATTAGCCCTTTTGATCTTTCAAATTCAAATCCTATTTTGGGGGGAGAGAAGACTCTTTAATTTGACACTCTATTACTTGGTTCTTCAGAAATAATTCTTAAACTATGTATTACCCTTCTCTAAGTTTAATACTGAAATGCTGAAAGATATGCTTATTTGAGTTTGCTTGCCCACAAGTGTATATGTTTTATATGCAGGTATTATGTGAAGAAAGTAGTTTTAAATTCTAAGTTGGCAATTTTCCATAAAATTAGTATAGTTGCCTTGTTAATTATAATCTCAGTATTGGCCATGGTTTAGGAAATTTTTATTGATTAGTACAATCTCTTAGCAACTATGACTCTTCACCCTTAGAAAGATCTACTTGGTAGATGAATTTAATTCTTTGATTTTATTTGAAGAACTGATTAAAGATGTGCATAGAAAATTATTTTTAAAAATTCCCACTGTTGTATTTCAGCATTATTGATAATATTAAAGCTTCGAATTAGCATCAAATAAGAGGAGAATGCTCAAATTTATGGTGAATATGTCATGGAAAATACGCAGTATTAAAATGATCATTTTAAATAATGTTTAATGACATGAAAAATGACTGTGATATAATGCAAAGTTTAAAAAACAGAAAGTCATATTGTACAGGTGGAACACTGCAAATACACACATATGCTGCATTGTATTTTCAATTTAACAACATCCATAAACATAAATAACTTATCCTCTACTGTTTTAAAAAGGGAATCTTTAAATACCTCAATTCTTACAAAACTTACGTATTATGAGGTGGAGTGGGAGAGGAGGGTGGAAATTTTTAATGAGACACACATACTTTCAAAGCTATTGACACATAACAAGTACAAAGAGAGGGTGATAAAACTCTTATTTATTCCCTCTCCCTTGCCATTGGCAGATATGTACATGACTGCAGAGGCAATGGTTGGGTAATCTGGGAGGACAGAGAATCCAGACTAGAGACCAACACAGCCAGGTATCCTTCCCATTCCTCAACTGATCTGAAAGATGTGCAGGATATGAAAATTGCTAAATCCCAGTGTGAAAACAAATAGTTATTATGATAATAAGATTTTCTGTCTTCAAATGGCCTGGAAATGTGAGTTATATGTCTTTCTGTGAGTTCAAAGCAGTGTATAATTTTGAAAATCATCTTCTGTTTTCAAGTCTAAAGATGAAAAATCAGGCTGTTAATTTCTCATAGAGCAGTGCTTCTTAACCAGGAGAGACCTTGATCTCAGTGGGATATTGTCAATGTCTGGAGGCATTTTTTGTTGTCACAACAGGGAGGGTGTGCTGCTCACATGCAGTGCGGATGCTCCTAAACACGTATAGTGCGCATGATGGTCCCAACCACAACACATTCCCACCTGCAACACACTATCCGGACAAAATGTCAATAGTGCTCTAGTCAAGAAATCTGTCATAAAGAGACATTTCAGAGTGCTTGCACAAAGCCACAATAATTTCTCTCCTTTCTGCTTCAGAAGTAGATCACTTGTCTTTGTCCCTCCATGAACAGTCACATGGACCTCTTACTGCCATCCTCAGCATCGAAGGGACTGTCAGGAGAATCTTCATGAGGTCTTTGCTAGGTTGCATGGAGGGGCTTAGTGTGAGAGAGGAAGAAGAGAAAAGGAGAGAGAACAAGCCTTCATCCCAATTTATTCACACTGTTATTCCTCTCACAGTAACAGCTGCTATAAGAGATTTGGTTCCACAGATTAAATTGTTCCCATTTCCTAGATTTCTGAGATTACCCCTTAATACACAAAGGGAAAAATATTTTCATAAAGGAATGATCAAAGGATGGCAGATCTTAAAATATTCTCTAACTAAGAGGGGGAGAAAAGATAGATGTCTTAAAACTCTACTACTACTGCTCTTTACAATTCCTTCTTTTTCTACATACAACTGAAGAATTACCTCTATTGGGAAAAACAAAAAAACGTTTTCAGCTCCCAGAAAAACCCACAATGTACAGCCCAACCAACCAACCTGAGAGATTGATGTTGCTTCCTATTTTGAAGACGCTGTGATGGAAAAGTGTTATAGGTTTTATGTTTGTGCTTGTGTATCCCTGGGGCCCTTGTTCTGTTAGCCTGCTAAACAATTATTGATCTCTGTGGATATCAACAAGATATCAAGAAAACTATCCTATCTTGGGACTCAAACAATTATTGATCATTATGGGATGTAAGCTTGAGGGGGAGGCCATCCAACATGGTACATATAATAACCTAACAAAATAACATCCAGAGTTCATGATGAACTGTTAATTTATTTTCATGGAAAAGAATGGTATTGGACATCTAGTCTAAATAACATAGCCAATACATATCATCTGTGTTGTATGAATGTCTGTGTAATGTATGAGTGTGTTTGTGTATGTAAATACACATGAGTATATATGCTGTTGTTCACATACTGAAATATATAGTACGTTGTTGTTAATAGCTGTTCATTTTGTTCTTAGTGAGCCCCAAACTATTGTCACAAAATACATCTGTCTTGAAGGACAGAGTCTCATTACAACAAAGGCAAAAGAGCATCTATGAAGAGCATCACTGGTGGTGAAGCCCTGTATCATCCGGGCCTCCCACTCACAGCAAAGCCTCTTTGCTTGTATGTATATCTTAGACTTAAACAAATGGAAGGTGCTTTTAAAGTTAATTTAAATTTTTAAAGTTTGCTAGGAATTGATATCAGGATCATTATCCATACATTTAATAATATTAATATGAAGCTCTAAGATTGTAATAAAATGTACTTAAACTACATATAATAACACATTAACTACATATTAATAACACTTAAACTACATATTCATAAAATATTACATTAATAAGGTTTAATGAGGTCAACACTATATTAATTTTCTGAGTGTGTTTTTAGTGGATGGTTTTAAACAATTTTACCCTAAATGAATGAATAACAGATATATTTAATTAGCACATGGTAAGAATTGGAAACTCTTTGTGGTAATCTTGCCAGAACTTGAGCAAATGAGTGACCACAGAACAGACCACTCCCAGACCTGGCAAGGCTAATCTTGGCATGTCTTGCTCTTGTATATGGAATCAGTTGACAGGGGAGAGTCTAAGAGGGTTGCACACTCAAATCAGGTACCTTACCAGATGGCAGGTCATGTGCTGGGATGTGACATATTTATTCTCATTGTCAAATACAGTAGTTTGTGCCTGTTCATATGGCAGCATTTCAAATTTCCAAGAAAGTCTGATATTTAAAATTCTATTGAAGGTTAATATACTGTACTAAATATAAAGAAAATTGTATGAGTACCAGATATTCCTAAAGGTAAATTTTTTGAGAATCCAGAAAAAACAGAAATCAAGAGAAAAAGTGTTCCCCCATCAAATTCCAGTATCTAAAACTCTGTTACCTACATTTCTTTTCTTTAATTTCTTATTAAAATTCCAAATAAATTTATAGAGGCTTTATAAAATAATTCCCCAGATTACCTTTTCTCCCTTACAGAAACACCTGAAAATCTATTTCTTCCACCATACTGATGATTTTCTCAGAATTTTATCTAGACCGATTGAGTAGAGAAAAGAGAAAGGATATTTTTAATTTACCATGTTCAATAGTTTGTGAAGCTAACAATTATGTGCTTTTTATTTTATTTTCAATATGTTTATGTAGACAACTGAAGACAACTACACTGAAGACAACTTGAAACAAATTTTTTATTCTCTAACTTGGGTGAAAATTCAGTTGAGAAAGATTCAGTGATTTTCACTTTCAGGGAAAAAAATGTTCACAAAGGATTGATAATTTTTGTGATGTCTTTGTAGGCAGAAACACAGCATGACATGCGTTATTAGTCTTTCTGTGCCTGGCGTATTTCACTTAATATAATTTTCTGTAAGTCCATACATGTTGCTGCAAATGACAGTATTACATATTTTTTATATAGCAGAGTAGTATCCCATTGTGTAGATATACCACATTTTCCGTTTTTTTGAAGTAAAGATTTTACTATTGCTACTATTTAGATGTAATGATGGTAGTTTTATTATTTATTTATTTATTTATTTATTTGATTTTATTTTGTCAATATATAATGTGGTTGATTTTTTTTTTTTTTTTTAAGATGACTAGTAAGAGGATCTTAACCCTTGACTTGGTGTTGTCAGCACCATGCTCTCTCAAGTGAGCTAACCGGCCAACCCTATATAGGGATCCAAACCCACGGCCTTGGTGTTATCAGCACCGCACTCTCCCAAGTGAGCCACGGGCTGGCCTAACAATGTGGTTGATTATTGTGACCCATTGCTGAAACCTCCATCCCTTCTCCCCCTCCCTCACAACAACTTCATATCTGTTAGCTTGTCATATTAACTTCAAGGAATTGCAATTGTTGTGTCTTCTTCCTTCCACCCCCGAGTTTATTTGTGTATTTATGTATTTATTTTTATCTCCCATAAATAAGTGAGAACATGTGATATTTCTCTTTCTGTGCCTGACTTTCTTCACTTAATGTAATTCTCTCTAAGTCCATCCATGTTGATGTGAATGGTATAATTTCGTCCTTATTTATAGTAGAATAGTATTACACTGTGTAGATATACCACATTTTCCTTCTCAACTCATCTGAAGATGGACATTTGGGCTGGTTCCAACTCCTGGCTAT